ACAAAGAGTTATAGCTTAATAAAGTAGTTGTAGTAGTCAATATATAATATGTTACACAATTGATGTGTTAACCATGTATTTTCATTGATTCAGGGACAATACGACAATGTGTTAATCATTAATCAATGGAACACCAAAACATTAACAGTGATTCAATATCATATAATTAATATCTATATACATATCTCAAGAAAAGTCTAGAAGCCGAGGCTGTCTCCAGTAAATTCCGTAAAATGGGTGAACTTTACCTTGCTACCAAGGTGAACCAATGGAGCAGGAGAATTGTGTTTGTTATACGTTTCAGCTTAGTTTGTTGATGTTTCATGACCAATCAGGACTTAGAAGTCCTAGCAGTTATGGTTTGTCTACTGGTTGCCCTGTGTGCTGGTTGTGACTTGGTCCCAAGTGCCATAGTGTGATGGGAGCGCTTTGCTGAACTTGCTGGAACAAAAGAGATTTTCTTTACTTACCAAACTAAGAGGTCCAGACTTTTATTCTAAGTGCTTGATTTATAATTTTTCTACCACAAGGGAACAGTTTATTAACTATTTAAAAAAATGCAGTAGTACTCCACAACTTTCTGCTGCAGTTACCAAGGCACCTGCAGATGCTTTCATTACTCAAGCATCCATAGATGTTCCAGAGACACCGACACCTCCACATGCTCTGGTTGCCCAAGCATCCATGGATGTTCCAGTTTCCCAGACACCACAGCTTCGTGTTCCTAGGCCAGCTCGACAATGTGTGACATGTATTCACTGTAAGCTTGTCTTAAACAAATGCAATCTAAAGGTGCATTTGCAAAGAAAACACTCACAGTTCTTTTGGTTTTACCCTTTTTTGTATTTTCCTTATATATTTGTGGTAAATAAATGTTTTTTTGGAACACATTCCTTGATTTTCATTTGCTTAATGTATAAGTTTGTAGAAATTGTTTTATTCAAGTTATTTTTATTTATTATGTATTATCACCAAAATGATTTCATTTTTCATTGACAATTTAGTTTAATAGTTACACTGAGCACAGTGAGGTACCCATGAGCAAAGTATCATCCACACCTGCTGCTCCCTAGGTACCACATGAAGCCGCCCACTGCTTCACTGGGTTAAATGGAGAGGATGGATTTCAGAATGTTCACCACAATCACAAATCACATTCACTTCACTTTCAACCAGGTTACAGATTTGAACATGTTTTAAATGATTGTTTATTATGGTCATTGGATATGTATTCCTTTTATTTATTTGGTAAATATATAAAATATATACTTTACTAATTGGTTATAAGTGTTCTTAAATAGCAGTTTTGCACAGGAATTAGTGTTGTTCAATGATGTGCAATTACATTATGCAAATACAAAACCATACAATAAAGCACTTCAACAGCAAAAGTCAACAAACAAATACAAATAAATTCAAAGTTACATTAAGTGTTGGGATACATTAAAATCAATACAATGTAGTAGATGTCATTAAGCTAATCATTATGAAGAGAAATGAGATGTGATGTGTAACTAATTATTGGCAAAGCAAGTGCGATGATCCGTTGTAATGTTTAACGTTAGACAAAAACGGAGCAATGTCATATTTAGGTAATACCACATTGTGACCATATATCAAAGGCATCATCCATTCTTGAAGGTGTAAACATAAAT